AGTTCAAGTTCATAAATTTAAAGTTTAGTTCAGGTTTAGGTTCAAAGATCTGCAAAATTTAAAGTTCAGTTTAGGTTCAATTAAACCTGAACCTTAATTAAACTAAACAGAACTTTAGAACACTAGTACCAAGAATAGTATAAAAAGCTAGAAATAGAGATCTTAAGCCAGAAATAAAAATCTTGAACCTGGAATTAAAGATCTTGAACCTGGAACTGATACAAATATTAAGTATCAACTTTGTTTTTTGTCTTGTTTTTTTTTTTGTTCTACTAATATTTTTTTTAGATTGGTACCAGGAATAGTATAAGAAGCTGAAAATAGAGATCTTAAGCCAGGAATAGAGATCTTGAACCTATTTTTAATCAATTGATCCAAAATAATTATAAATTTAAGTATAAACTACAATAATAAAATTATAAAATTTAATAAATAAAAACACCACATTGCTACCGATTCTGTTCACTCCAAAAATTTGATATTAATTTTAGAGTATATTCTTTTAATCAACTGTATATCAGTATAATGAAGTATTAAAAAAAATGAATAATTTAAATAAACAGCAGCAATGATTTTTCAAAGATATCTACTGCAGTTAGGATGTGTTGCACAATAGTCATGGGCATGCCATCATGACATGCCAATGGTGACATGCCATAGGGCATGCCCAAAACAAAAATAGTCTATAGGCATGCCACTTATATGATACATCTTGCTCTGGCTAAACTGATATTTGGATATTCTGAAATATTCTGAGTAGAAAATCAGACAACATAAAATTACAAGGAAAAATTAGAGCAAAGGTCTGAAATATTCCGGAAGATGGTTCAATTATATTATGGCATGCCCATAGTATGGCATAGCATAAATTTTGGCTGATGGCATGCCAAATTTTTTTGCCGTGTCACACACCCTAACCGTAGTGCACTGACCAAAGTATCCCCCTTTTTCAATATCCTCCCTTGCAAAATACCCGGTGCAAAACACGAGATCTCTATTAATTAAATATAAGTTTTTTTAAAATTTTTAGACTGCTTATCATGAATGCGAAGTATGTTTATAAATGAAATTTCACTTTCTTGCGACACAGACCCACTGCCGTATAATATACCCGGGTCTTTTGTAAGTTTTTTGACGGGTGTTTGTATTCGACCCCGGGTCTTTTGGTCAGTGCACTACGGCAAAACTTATTTTTACCCGTTTTGTGTTTTTTTTTTATTCTCAAAAAGTATGTCGCCTTTATCTCTTTATAACTTTAGTCTATAGTATTATCGATATTCAAATTTAAAGAATTATTCGCTATTCTTTGCTCCATAATATTTTTTTACAATTCAGAGTAATAGTAGATCGTAAAGTTCTCAATTAAATACGAAGTGACAAGGCCTTAAAAATTTGGATAATGATCCCAGATTAATATCAAATATATATATAGCTATATAATAAAATAAATATGTATTGTATACTTTATAAAAAAATTTTTTAAAACAAAAAGTTTCATATAGATTACCTAAACCATATATATTTTAACACGAAAAATAATAATAGTAATGTTTCCCTAACCTAACCATCAGAAGGAAGTTTTGTTAACCATACATATTCTAAAGATTATTGTTCTATATATATAACGTATTTCTGCAATATAAAAGGGGTTGGCTAAAGCCAAGTACATCACGGGATTACCCGATATATAATCCGGATCAGCCCGAACGAAATATAAAAAATGCATATCGGCGTGTTTGATTTTTAGGGCTTTTAAGTAACGTTGAGAAAGTAACGAAACAAAGCACTTGTTGTAACTAATAAAAAGACCACTAGACAAGATAAAAAACAAATAAATATCAATAAAACATCTACACTAAGCTGTAGAAAGAAGCAATTTACTGTTTGTTGAAATACTCTGGGGTTTTAGGATGAGAACGATGTGTTTATGATGTTTACGATGGGTTGGTGGGTAAATACGGAAGCGAAGTTTCAAAAAATTGACCTTTTTAACTTACTTTTGGCTTATAATTAAATATAAAGATATCATAATTTTTTATATATTTAATTATGAACATAAGGTTGGCTAAAAAGGCCGTTCTTACGAAAATTCGTCTTGTAATCAATCATGATTGGTTGATTTTGGGGTTGAACCAAACACGCCAATATTAATATGGGCTATCTAAACCGGTCTTGGTTCACTAATTAAAAATTAATCGATTTTAATTAAAAATCGGAAAAATCGGGTAATACCTGGTTTTAGCCATCCCCTTTTCGATTTCAACAGTACCGGGAACTTCCGTAGATTAAAGCATTGAGTTCAAAATTTTGGGACGTGGTCTCCACATTATCATCATTTGAGACTTGTAAAGTGTTCGAATGATAATTTAATGCCGTCATCTGAGGTAAACATAGATCAAAAAAAGATGAATCGACTGATTCTACGGGTTGTTCTGAAGCAATTAATTCCGGGGTTTGTGATAATGCGAAGGATGATACATCGATTAAATAATCGTCTGATATCTGAGTTGGAGAAGAAAATGAGTAGCTCGATTCGATTGTAGGTTGGATGCTAGTTCATTTAGATTTGATTTTTTGAGAGCT